AGCCACCGGAGGACACGGCTAGTCTACCATACATTCTGGGTTAGGAGATGGAGGTGAGTAGAGGCTGCCAGTGGTGACACAAACCAATGCTTCCACCATTATTTCATGGAAACTGAAGATTTTACCTATAGGGCCTTGCCTTTGGTAAAAATAGGAATCCAGCAAATTGAATTGCGTCCAAATCTGTACCAAGGGCACATGACTCACGGTCACTAGTCCTAGCCTGGGTTTTTGGGCTCCCACCGTCTCCTTCATTGAGACCCAGTGAACAAGTGCTGGGGAATCCTCTGCTAAATGACCATGTCTTCTGTTTCTTAGCATGACAAACCACACAGGAAAAAGGCTTTGGCAGGTCCCCAGTACCAACGTATGTTTTTTAAATATGTACAAAGAACCTTCAGACAAGAGTAACTGTTCATACACCCCAGCTAAACTTGCCATGTAGCAGATTTGTTCATTGTACAAGTCTGGGGAGAAATCAGAGCCAGGGTCCATTCCAACTTTCACCAGCTGTTTGCCCAAGGCAAGTTAATTAACGACTCTGAGCTTCATTTTTCTCACCTGTGAAACGTAAACAACACTTCATGCTGCAGGCTTGATAGGTACTATTTAGTGAGATAACATATTAATGTGCTCCTCTTGGAGTCTGAATGAAACACAGCATAATAATAGGCCAACTGGGCTCCTGCTGAGTCTAGAACAGCTCTGTCCAAATGGGAGCCACATCCATAATCCTAACTTTTCCAGCAGTCACATCCTAACACCAGAAGAAACAAGTGAAATTAGCTTTAATAGTGCATCTTATCCAAGATCTCCAAAATACTATCATTTCAATATAATAAATTTCCAAATACTATTTTTAAAAAAAGTTCCTACTACTTGAGTCCTTGAAATCTGGTAGTTTCTATCCTTTCCCCCAGGCACTACAGATTAAACCCAGGGTCTCGTTATGGTAGGTGAGGGGTTGAATTATAGCTATCGCTTTAAGATGTCTCTCTCTCTCTCTCTCTCTCTCTCTCTCTCTCTCTCTCTCTCTCTCCCCCTCCCCTGCTGTATGTGTGTGCATATTTACATGTGTGGGCACATGTATGTGGGTGCTCTTGCACATGTTTATGCATGCATGTGGAGGGAAGTTCAAGGTTGGTGTTGGGAATTATCCTTGATTCTTCTTCCACCTTATTCATTGAGACAGGATCTCTCAGTTACAGCCAGAGCTTACCTTATGTCTCTTCTAGCTAGCCAGCTTACTCTGGTGATCCCCTGTCTCTGCCTTCCAAGGCTGGAATTATAGGTGGGCCATCAAGTCCACCCACCCAGCATTTACCTGGGTCCTGGGGATCTGACAGCTTACTCTGGTGATCCCCTGTCTCTGCCTTCCAAGGCTGGAATTATAGGCCATCAAGTCCACCCACCCAGCATTTATCTGGGTCCTGGGGATCTGCGCTCCAGTCCCCATGCTTGCCCAGCAAGCACGTTAGCCACTGAGCCATCACTGGAGCACCTCACCCTTTTACGTTTTTTCAGATTTATTTTCTTCTTCTTCTTCTTTTTTTTTTTTTTTTGAAGCAGGGTCTCCCTGTAGCCCCAGATATCCTGGAACTCACTATGTAGACCAGGCTGGCCTTGAACTCACAGAGATCTGCCTACCTCTGCCTCCCAAGTGCTGGGACTATAGGTGTGTGCCACCATGCCCAGCTCCAGATTTATTTTCTTTTAAATTATGTCTACACATGTTTCTGTGTGTGGGTATGTGTATGTTAGTGCAGGTGCCCATGGAGACCAGAGGATTCAGATCCCCTAGGGCTGGAGTTACTAGTAATTGTAAAATGCAACATGTAGGTGCTGGGAATTAGCTCAGGTCCTCTGAAAGAGTAGTACACACTCTTAACCACTGATCCATCTCTCTGGTCCTCCTGTTTACTTTTTGTTTGGAGACATAGTCTCACTGAGTTCCCCAGGTTGGGCTTGGATTCACTCTGTAGCCCAGGCAGGTCATCCTTCTGCCTTAGACTTCAGAGTAGCTTTGATTACAGACCTATGCCATCAAGCCCTGCTACTTTACGCATTTGGCACACCTCAGTTCAGAGTAGTGCCACATGCTCAATAGCCGTGTATGGCTACTGGCTTCAGTACTCAGGCCTCTAGTCGTCACTCGGCAAACATGGCTAGCCCATCATTCTCTCCTGCTTTATGAATAACAATGTCCCACCAGAGAATTCCCAAGTTCTCTGACATTTTTGGTTAAATCCTTACTGCTGAATTATTTTTTCATCCACTCTTATATTAACCTTACAGTTATAGAAAGGTAGGCAAGTTCTTGTAATACGAAACCCACAAACATTTAAGTGATAGTCCCTGAAAACTCATTACAGTGCAGGGGCTAGAGAGATGGCTCAGTGGTTAAGGTTGTGTACTGCTCTTGTAGAGAACCTGGGTTTGGGTCTCAGTACCCATCAGGTAATTCCAGTTCCAGTGGTTCTGATGCCCCCTTCTGGCCTCTAAGGGTACCTGCACTCATGTACACATACCCTCCACAAAAACTCATATTTTAAATATATATATATGGAAAAACTCACCACAGTGGTTTGTGCTTTTATAGAGAAGAGATCAGATAACTAAAGAACTTGTAAAGTGAAGAAGCCAGAGGTGTAACAGAATGGGGGTAAGCATAGGATACATTTAATCAAAGGGAAAGCCATCAAAGCCTTAGCTGGGTTACTAACTGCTGAGCAGAATAGCAGAATAGTAGGCCAGCACCTGCTGGGAAAGGTAGGAACCCTGGGCCAGAAATGAGAAAGGTCCTCACAGGAGCCCAGCATGGGTGGGACATAGGCTTAGTGGGCTCGCAGCCCAGACAGCACCCCAGGCAGCCACTAGCCAGCCAACGTGGTGATGCTGCCTTGGACTGTCGGTAGACTCAGCTCCAAAGTCTGAGCAGGAGGAAACACAAGAAGTACTTTGTTTGTGGGGAAGGTGGGGGAACCTTTTCCTGCTCTCTGGTCACAAGTGGAACTGTTTCAATGCACACTGTCTTTCTAAGGGATTTAAGGTAATAATAAACCTTTGATATGCGGTATTGATAAAACCGTCACCGAGGTATATTAGCACACTTATTTTCATGATCATTTACCTAATAAGATAATACAGATTTTCTGCAAGGTCAATTCAAAACTCTACAAGGAAATATTTAAGCCAAGAAATTGAAATAATTGCCTTAAGTTATCACAAGGAAAGCAACTCAACAAATTGGAAAAGCCCAAGTCTAGGAAAGGGTCCAGCCCGAAGGCCCCAGGGCAAGAGTCCCTTTGCTCTTGCAGCCTCTGAAGTTACCCCATCACACCAACTCATTGGGTTCTCAGTGACTCTGGTGCTGAGGACAGGCCAGCTCTGCTTGATAAACTCTGAGTAGGACTGCAAAGACATGAGCAGATAAGCCGGTTGTGAATGCTTTCATTTCAGTATGTTGCCTTTTCTGAAGGAAAAGTTCTAATTCCAATAGCGCATTGTGAAACCCAGAGGATCTGAGCATCTATAAGGGGTGTGCTCTTCTGACATAACTTCTCTAAGTTTCTATGCCTATAAAACAAGATAATTAATACTAACTTTGCACAAATTTTGGGAAGATTAGGCATAATGTGTTTCACATAGTGTTGGAAATACCAACAAACTGTTATATTTGCTTAGTTTACATATCAGTTTTTGGTTGTTGTTCTCTTTTGGGATCGACCCCAGGGCTTTGCACATGCTGGGCAAGCACTCTACCATCCATCTGCACCCCACCCCCTATATTATATATGATGTGTAACATAAAAGAATAAAAAACCCCAATTTTTTTTTTTTTTTTTTTTTTTTTTTTGTCTTTTTAAGACAGAGTCTCCCTGTAGTCCTAGCTGGCCTGGAACTCGCTATGTAGACCAAGCTGGACTCCAATTCACAGAAACCCACCTACCTCTGCCTTCCAAGTGCTGGGACTAATGGTGTGCACCATCACACCTGACTCATATTTTATTTTTTTATTGGTATAAAGACATCATTGAAAACTATTTTAATAAAGAAACAACAGGAAGTAAAGGATGCTAAACTGATTTCCATTTTGAATCTGTGTATCTACCAAGCATGCAAATGAGATGTATTGTCTCAAACTTTAAAATTCTGACTGCTTTTATAAAATTTTACTTTCCCTGGTTAAATAAAAAATGACAAATTGGTCATGAATACATCAGTAGGAGACTTTGAAAACTGCTTGTTTGCTTTTTAAAAAGCAACTTAGGTATTGCCCCATGACAGAGCCTGTGAGGGGGTGGTTAACATGCCCTTTCCTATGTCATGGATGTATGTTTTAGGTTTTAATAGACAATGAATTCCTCCTCTGATGGTCCCAAAAGAATCCTCTCAAACTAGGATTTCATGGATTCATTCCACTGTGAAGGAAACACTCAACACTAAACATATTATGAGTTGCTTTCTTTAATTAAATTCCTTACATTTTACGAGGCATCCCTCAAAGTGATATTTTTTTAAATTCCTTGAGGTCTATGAAACATAATCACAATTGCTATACAGATACCAGTATAAGGACTCTGTGTCGTTGGTGATAAAATGCTAAGTCAGTAAAGGGGATAGAGATCTTCCTGAATTCCCCTCAAGTCAACCCCTAGGATGGCTCTTATTCTTTTGGAGGTTCTGGGGATGGAACTCACTAGGTTGTGCTCTACCACTGAGCTACACCCCTGTTCCCTAGCACCAGCTTTTCATCATAGCTAAAGGTCAATCTGATTTTAAGTATGAGACTTGCTTATGGTTATCCAACTCCATGGTAAGTGTTGTTTGTGAGCAAAGGCAGACTTCAAGTTGATAAAACGCACTGTAAGAAGCCCAGTAACATTAGGCTCTGTCTGCAAAATTGTAATCCTGGCCAGTTTGTGACTGGCGTGAGCTCTTCCAACAAGGCAGTGGTTCTTCTGTTAACACACCCGTAGCACCGACAAGGCTAGGTTTACCTTTCTTTGGTCTCAATTTCACTGCCAAAGACTCCTTTCTTTCCATGGCTGCTTCTCTTTCTTTCCATCGTCGGATCTGTTCCTCCCTCATCTTGAAGAACAGGATCTGTTTCTGCTCCTCGCTGAGCTCCGCCAGCAGGTCAGGATCTATGTACATCTCCGACAGTATCTGTCTCAGCATCTTTGCTGGTCACAAGAACTTTTACACCTGTGGCAGAAGTCCCTGAAAACGGCTTGCAGGTACGTTCCTGGTAGACTGGCCGCTGCGCACCTCCACAGACCTTCCCAGAGACTAGAACACCTCAGCAATCTTGACCCACTGGGGCAGGAATTCAGCAAAGTGGCTCCTGTTGTAAATGCCGCTCAGTGAACAAACCTGCAAAGAGCAACAGACCAAACCAGGCATTAAAATGTGCAGATTCTGGGCAGAAACAGGCTAATACACAAAGCTGGGAGTAAACACAGTTTCATTTTTCAGTTGAAAGGGAAACAGAAGGAAAGCCAAGGCACAATGTGTTAAGAGATTGTGTAACCTCTATCCCATAATTTTCAGAGATACTCTCAGAAAACAGAACCAACCCTAACTTTACACAGGTCAATGTCAGAGAAACAGAAATTTTAACAGAGTTTCTCCCAAGTAAACAAACATATTATTACCTCGGAGCCTTCTAAACTGCCAGCTACAAAGCTGAACAGAGAATCAAAAAACAGTAACAACAAAAGTCACAGGAAGAAATGGAAATATTCTCCCCAAATAACTTATTTCAAAAGAAAGTATTATTTTGAGATTTTTTTTTTTTTTTGAGGGACAGTGCCATACTCAAAAAAAAGTAAAATGGAATGAAAATTAGGGCACAGTGTAGTGTTTGGGTTTTGTTGTTTTTGTTAATGTCATTTTGTATTTTCTTTTAAGCACAGCACCACATAGATGCAGCTATGTGCTTTTTCCAGATAGGCCAGCAGAGCTACAAGAACAACGAAGGTTCAAAAGAGAACATACATGAACATTCTGGAATATCATCAGGTTTCAAGTGTCTCTTTTCCAGACAACGTAATTTAATAAACTCTAAATTTACAGACCAGATAACCTGTGGGAAGAAGCAGTCACTGGCTTCTATCTTTGACTTCTAAGTTTATCGGGAAGATTCTTGAGAAGACATTGTGGACTCAGGCATGCATGGTGTCACACTGGTAGTATGAGAAGGTGACAATTCTTTTAGGTCTCATTTTGCTTTACACAGTTTTTAAAATAACTTTAAAATATTTTATTATTTTTATTTTATGTTTATGAGTGTATTGTCTGCATATATGTAAGTGCACCTGTGTTATGCAATGCCTGCAGAGGTCAGAAGAGGGCATTGGAGCCCCTGGAACTGGAGTTACAAATACTTGTTATCCGCCATGTGGGTGCTGAGAGTCAAAACCAGGTCCTCTGCAAGAGCGATCAATGCTCTTAACTGCTGAGTCACCTTGCTTTTTTTATGTTTATGAGTGTATTGTCTGCATATATGTAAGTGCACCTGTGTTATGCAATGCCTGCAGAGGTCAGAAGAGGGCATTGGAGCCCCTGGAACTGGAGTTACAAATACTTGTTATCCGCCATGTGGGTGCTGAGAGTCAAAACCAGGTCCTCTGCAAGAGCGATCAATGCTCTTAACTGCTGAGTCTCCTTGCTTTACACAGTTTTACATGGCTATATATATATATATATATATATATATTTTAATATTTTATTATTTTTATTTTATGTGTATGACTGTATTATCTGCATGTATGTGAGTGCGCCTGTGTCATGCAATGCCACAGGGGTCAGAAGAGGGCTTCGGATTCCCCTGGAACTGGAGTTAAGGACGGTTCATAGCTGCCATGTGGGTGCTGGGAATTGAACCTGGGCCCTCTGCAAGAGCAGTCAGTGCTCTTAACCACTGAGCCATCTCTCCAGTCCAGGTTATATATTTTTTTAAGATACCAAAACCTTCACACTTTGTGTGCGTATGATGTGTGTGTGACATGTACGTATGTGTGTTTTGGGGGGTACACATGCCTCCAGACGCATGTAGAAGCCAGAAGTCAACCGCAAGATTCAGTCCTGACCTTCTAGCTTGTTTCAGGAAAGGTTTCTATTGTGGTGGTTCACCACTGCATAGACCAAGCAGGCTAGCTGGCCCCAGAGCTCTGAGGAGTCTCCTGACTCCAATGGAAACACTGGGATTACAGACATGCACTACTGCACCCAGGGATTCCAACACAGATTCTCATACAGGTTTATCTGGTCTGTAAATTTAGATTTTATTAAATTAGGTTATCTGGAAAAGAGACACTTGAAACCTGGTGACCTTGCAGAATGTTCATATATGTTCAACGACTACTTTCACACTTACAGTGTTTCATCAGTCTTGCCCTCTAGTCATGCCCTCTCAAACACTTGTAGACCAGGCTAACCCAGAACTCACAGAGATCCGCCTGCCTCTGCCTTCTGAGTGCTGGGATTAAAGGCATGTGCCACCACGCCCGGTTTACAGCTGGAGTTCTAATGCTCTCAATTCTTGTTCAGGTCCCTTTCTTTTCCTTCTTCCTCCTCATCTTTGTGAAGGGGCTTTCTGACTACAGTTCTTTGAGACAAGCAGGCTCAATTGTAGGCACCACAGAGCACCTATAGCATTTAGATTCACCAACTAGTCACTGTACAGCAGAGGCCTTGAAGTATAACTGCTCTTGTTACCTGCACCCTGTGTGCTCCCACAGAGTTCAACTACTGGAATTCAAAAGGAACGCAAATAAAGAGAAAGTTTAAACAGCATTAAAGACAATGCCACCGACTATAACTCAGCCAGGCACACCTCTCAGGGAAGGACTTCTGGCCAAATTTGCATATGGCTTTGGGATGGTCCTCAAAGGGTTCCACAGCAGGGAGTGAATGTCTTGTGACTTTTGGGTTCTAGCATTTTCTCATGGAGTAGAGCCAAACTCCACACTGAAGGAAGGGTTTATAGAAAATACTCTTCTTCCAGGAGCTGAATCTGGTTCCTTGGTACATGTGACTCCGCGGTTCTGAGGTAAAGTGGTAGGTAAACAAAGTGAATGACTCCTTGAAATTCCAGGAAGCCCAGGCACATTCCATGACCACAGTGGTTGACTCCCTCAGAACATGGTAGAAAATAAATGGTTGATGAGGTCTGAATCTTCAACTCTATCCCAGTTTGAATGGAGTGAATAGGATTGGAGGATCAGAAAGAGCCTAAAATTAACTCCCTCAAAGAGCCAGGAAAATATTCCTCCCCTGGTCCTGCCCAGAATGCTCTGATAACAGAACTGACACTTAACTGTTCTCTGCGTTAACTTACTTAGTCTGCTCTCTAACCCTTCCAGGTCAGTCCCATTTCACAGATGAGAAACACAGAGCACAGAGGGTCAATAGCTGGGAAGTGGCAGAACTGGGCAGCTACTGTATCCACCACACAGAAGCCCTTCTATGTGGTTGCTCTGAGCCCTAAATCAGCACGTCAGCTGGACATGATGCCGCATGTGAAATTTCAGAATGAAGCCCAGCAGATCCCCACAGCAGGAAAACAGCTGAAGTGAAGTTACTTCAGCAAGTGCCTCTCAGGGGCAGGAGCCCCACCCTGTCAACTATAGATAAGCTTAGGGGAGGCCAGATACTGAAAACTCTCCACCCAGGAAAGAGCACTGAACTGCCTGCCACACTGGCCCAGTGGTGGGTATTTTTGCCTTTTTCGCTCTCCAGATACTTAGCCCCACGGCACCTCTGTGAGGAGATGTGCAAACTCTTTTGCTTTGTTTTACCTTTAGGACCAAAGCATTAAAGTAAACTCATCAGTCACCTTTGTTTTGTTTTGTAGTATTGGGGACTGAACACAGGCCTTTGCACGTTAGGTAAGCTCTCTATCCTGAGCTGCGTCCTCAGCCCTCTTTTTACTTTATCTTTTGAGAAAGAGTCTAAGTTGCCTGGGATGCACTCTAGCATGGGCAGGCCTTAAACTTTCCATCCTGACTGCCTCTGTCTCACATGTAACTGAGATTATAGGCACTGATCACCAGGCCCAACTTAATCAGTCTTGAAGAAAAGACACTGGGTTCCTTGTGTCCTCAGAGAATAAGTAAGCACTACAGCTGGCAAAAGAGTGTGACCATGCTGTTGAATATGCATGTCACATTGGACTGTTGATTCACTCGGAGGTGAATTCCCTGTCACCCCCACCCTAAGGCTTCTACCTAGTAGACACCAGCACAGCAGTGAACTCACAGGACACCCCCAAAAGGACACAACTCCCAACTCCCAGCACAGCCTCCAGTGAGCTGTGTGACTTTGGGATGTCATTTCAAATCTTCCTACTTAGCTTCTCCATCTGTAAAATGAACCTCAGAATCTTATAATTTGGGGATAATGAGATAAAATCTACTGTGAAGTTCTCAAGAGGAGTCAGGGAACAGGAAATAGATATGAGGAAACTAACTGGCTAGGGGTTTTCCTCCATTGACTCCCTGACAGAACAAGCAGTCATGGCTGGCACTGATTGACTCAGTGACCTCTGCATCTCATAGACTAAGTACAGCAAGTTTCCAGTTATCCGAGACCCATTAAAAAGTAAAGCTCACCTACCTTATCTTCCTCTCCTACAGCACCTTCCTTAGAGAGACAAAGAACAAGCAAAAACCCACACTTCCTGTTTATTCTAAAAATCAGTTTTTTTTAAAAGGGTCATAGGTCAATCAAACTCTCAGAATACCCATAAATCTACCCTGAATCTCACACCTTCCACTTTTCTACAATACAATTGTGTTTTTAATTAAGCCAGGACAATAATAATAAAATTTTAAAACAATACTCTTAAGATCTGAAATACAGCTCAAGGACACATAAAAATACTGTGGTATGTGCAGTATCTCTCTAAAGTTAGGAACCTGGCTTAAATTCTGATCCCTTTTTAAACATCTGGCTCTGTCTTTCAGTTTTTTTTAATTCAAATTTTTCTTATTTATCTATATGCAAAAGGCTTGTTTTTGAGAATAAAATGAATTGTAAATGCTGACAGCAATTTGGTAAGTTCACATACAGATTTACAGAGAAAAGTCCACTTGTGGCAAATCTATGCCTAAATATGCCTTACATTTATTTATTCAATTAAAAAATTATAACTAAGCTGTTTTGTTACACAAGCAATCCAAGGGAAGGTGTTGAGGAAGAGACAGTCACCCTTTTGAGACCTTTGGGAAGACATTTGGTAAGGAAGACTTCAGTAAGCAAACACCTACAAACACTGATTCCATCGGCCCACGAAGCACTAGGGCAGGATAGCCAGGGTTAGGCTCACTTTGTAGTGAAAACTCATGGCCCACCAGACTGGGGCCGGGTTCTGGGTCCAGACTGAGCCTCGGCCCAGGGCGGTGGGGAGGCTACAGGGCCTCAGGTCACTCCCTATCCCACGTGGGGGTGCCCCTGGGTGTCCACGCGTGAGGAACCCGCCCAGGGTGTTCTGCGAGGGCTGAAACCAGTTCCAAGACTCTCCCCGTGGAAAGTCTCCTGGCCAACCAAGGCCACATGGCTTTACCCAACATCTGGTCGCCAATACCACTGCCGGCACAGATCTCGAGAGTAGCCACTAGCGATCCCGAGTGGCCACTAGCAATCCCGGGTGGCCATCTAGCATTCCCTAGTGGCCCACATCCTCCCAGGTGGCCGCCGCGGGCCGCACCTGCTCCGGGGCGGGCATAGCCACCGGCGCCAGCCTGCAACACCGCCGCGACACGCGTGTCCCCGCCCGGACCCCACAACTTCCCCAAGGACGCCAAATCCCCTCCAACTCTCCCACTGGAGGCTCCGGGTGTCTGGATCCCAGGCTCCCTGCCCTCGAAGCCGACACTCACCAGGCCCGCGGCTGCAGACACCCGACACCGGACACCGGACACCGGACACCAGCCGCGGCCGCGCTCACCGGCTCAGCCCGGCACCTGAGCCCGCCGGGGGCCGGCGGAGGAGGGACCAGTGGGAGGGGCGCGTGGGCCGGGTCTCTGCACCCTCGGGCTCCGGCCCCTGCGGCTCCCCACTCACTCTGGTGACCCACATCGGGGCCAGCCTTCGCGCAGGCTGTGCGCCCCAGCGTCCTCCCCACCAGGTCACATACCGACCTGCTCAGGACCATGGGCAAGGGGGCCAAGCACCGGCCACCTTCAGCTGGCCCCCAGGAGCTGTCCGAGAAGAGGAGGGCCAGGCAGGGGCGCCGCGATCTGCGCGGGCTGGCTGGACAAACAGACCCAGAAGGACACTCAGCGTCCAGCCCGCAGCCCCGGCCCGCCCCGCCGCGCCCACATGCCGGGGTGACTGACGGGGCGCTCGCTCCAGGCCCCACCCGGGTGCTGGAGACGCTCCAGGGCCACTAGGCGAGGCTGGGCTGCCGGGGCCAGGGACAGCAAGGCCACCCGCCCTCTGCGCTTAGTTAACCAAGTGTGGTGTTGGCCAGCTGCGCGTCTTGTCTCGCCATCCCAGCGGGTCTGCGCACCTTGTTCACCACAGCGGCCTACCCGTGCGGTGCTCAACTACTACGGTGCTGCCTGGAGAGGCGCGCAGGCCGGCTGGGTTACCCTGGTCCGGCAGGCCAACTTGGCTCGCCTCTCTCAGGCTCTGTTCCTGTCTTTTTTTTTTTTTTCCTTTTGTTGACATTAAGTAAATTATCAAACTCTGAGGCCCTTGTTACTGTGACTTTACAGAACACGATCGAAGAGGAGAAAGGCTGGAAAGTTGGAGACTGAAAATGGCAGCCATCGTGAGAAAACTGGGGAAAAAAGGGGGTGGGGTGAGGATGAAGGGAAAAGAATCCAGTGAATCTCAGCCAGTTTGAACCAGACCTGAATGGTGCGGAGCACAGAGACTGCGGGAGGAGGAAGGTTTAGCCGGTTGAAAAGGTTGAAGGGCCTCTTCCGTTGGAGAGGAAGGTGTAGAGGGAAACCGACCCCAGATAGTGGGTGTTGGACTGTGGTAGGACTCTATCCAACCTACTTAGAAGCCTGTCATGCTGGGCTGAAACCTTTTCTATCTTAGCCTTTTCAAGTCGCAAAAAAAATCTATTAGAGCCTTAAGACAGAGATCAGACCCTACATTCTGAGAAAACAATTCCCAGCTATTTAGGAACCATGCTGGAGGTCTGGTTTCTGGTCCTAGGCTTAGTTCCCACTACATTGAAATTCATGGCCAGGGGGTGCTTTAGACTGGCATGTGATTCTCCTCTGGTTGTCTGCTCAAAGTATTCACCACTCCTTACGGAGAGGTTAAGGAGCTTGATGAATAGCCCATCAGCCAGCTAAAATCCCACAGGACACTGATGATAGTTCTCCTCCACATTTGTTCTGTCTCCAGGACCTGACAAGTCCTTCTTTTTAACAGCCCTCTCTCTCTTTGTTGTTAACCCCTTTGTACCTCAGTTTCTCCCTCAGGATATTTAGCAATGCCTGCTCCCATTAAGTTGTGATGAGAGTTAAGTGAGATAATATGTGCAAAATACTTAGAACAGTTCTGGGCATGTAGTAAGTGTTCAAACACATTAACCCATATCCTTTCTCATCATGCACTCTAATTCCATGTTCCTCATACCGAGGTCATGGATTTTGTCTCTCGTCTTACCTGGACTCCAGGCTATCCCCAAATATCCTAGCTGAAGTAATCAAACCCTTGCTGTACCAGAGTTGGTCTGTGGGCCCAATAGAACATAGCAGAGGTGATGGTATGTCATCTCTTAGACCAAATTGTGGAAGGGCCACAGACATGTTACCCCAGCACTCAGATACTCAGGAAGTAGAAGGATCACAAGTCCAAGGCCGACGTGGGCTACACAGTTTCAGGCTAAATCCGGGATGCACAGTGACCCTGTTTGAAAACAATAAAGAGAAACACCTGCTTCTTCTGTCTCAGTCTGGCTGTCCCCACTACTTCCCCTCTCTCTACCTACAGTGGTCCTCTCTCTCTCCATCTCTCCCACACCTTTGGAACATTTATTTTCAGAGAAAAGAACTGCCGTGTGGAGCAATCCTACAGAGAGACCCACTGGGAGAGGCACTATGGCCAAACCCACAGAAGGAAGCTTCACAGGATCCTCAGCTGCTATCAAGTTTTGCGATTACTGCAGCTCTGGCCTAGAACATCAGCACCAAAAATTCATCAGACTGCTCAGTTAAGCCGCTCCCAAATCCCTGATCTATGTCCTTCCAGGTGGTCCAGTCCTATCGTAGTAAGTCAGTAAGTTTGGAGTGGTTTGTTACACGGCAGTAGATAACTAATGTGTTCTCTCACTGGTCTTGTTTCTAAGATCATTTTAGCCTGCTTTCATATACAGAAAATTACCCAGATAGGTTATTTAAGAAATTTGTTTTTATTTTTATTTTATGTATATGAATGTATTGCTTGCATGTACTTAAATGCACCTGGATCATGCAATGTCTGTGGTCACAAGAAGGTGTCAGATCCCCTGGAAGTGGAGTTACAGTTGGTTGTTAGCTGCCATATAGGTGCTAGGAATTGAACCCAGACCCTGTGCAGTGCTCTTAACTGCCGAACCATGTCTCCAGCCCCCGGATAGCTGATTTAAGCACTTAACAAGCTTATTTAAACACACATCCCATACCTCATCCCAGAGCCAAGAAGTAGAATATTGCAGGGCCCCAGCATTTTCTGGTGATAGAATAAGGACAAGGTGGCAGTTCTCATTCTCAGACTCTCTGCCCCAGGATGTCCAGGTTGTGAACTCAGTTGTTGAACTAATCCTCTTCAGTGCCACCTCTGATCCACCATTCAGTTGCTGAAATACTTTTGATGCCCATCCTCTCTCTTGCCTAAAGAATGAAGACTAGAATTACTTAGCAACTTTCAAGAGCCAGGATAATCCAACACTAAGCTCTTCAGCCTTATCACCTTTTTGCTAGACAGCCAACCTTCTTAAAATCTGGTATGTTCCAAGCCCCAAACCTACACAGGCTCTGCAGCCTCACAATGGGTCCATTGTCTAAAATGTCTTCCTTGACGTACCTTAAGAAAACTTCACCTCCCCCTTAAACATCAGTCTTTGGGAAACTTTGCATTTGCATAACCCCCACCCCCATTCAGAAACAGTCCCTGCCTCATGCACCAATATCATCCAGGAAACATTTTAATGAATACCTGGTAGAGGCTAGGCCTAGTGGTGATACTGAGGAACAGCAGAGTTGATAGTCTGGGTCCCTGATGCCGTGGTCCTGCCACATAGAGTAGCTTAGTGCATATTTCAGCTTCCCTTTGATATCATAGATGCCACTGATACCCTGAATCCAAAGTCTAATGCCTATAGCAGGTATTGATATCTAAGCAATGGCAGTTGAATGAACATTAGTCCAAATGAACACAGACTGTGCAGAAACTATAGTCATTCACTCAACTTGAACCCAAGACTTCCCTTTTATCCCATTTCTCCCGTTCCCCTTCATGCCATGAGCCTTTTTCCTGTGTGTGTAACCATCTCTTCTCTCTGGTGGTTTGTGTGTGGTTGGGTTCTTTTGTTACAGCTGGGAGGAGCCCTGCTGCTCAGGACTGTCAAGTGTATCACATATATACCATGTGTACAACTGTGTAGAGGTCAAGCACAGAGACAGTGATATATATGAAAGTGCCCGCTGGAGTTGCGCAACATAGCCTGATTGCTGTCAAGAAGATAAGGAAGCCACTTTGCCCTTTTACTAAGTTAAAGGTCAAGGTATATTATGGAAGTGAGTTATAGGGACTGGGGAGATGGCTCAGGAGTAAAGAGTGTTTAACTCCAGAGAACAGGAATTCAGATCCTAACACCCACACCAGGCTGCTCACAACAGCCTGTAATTCCAGCTCCAGGACATCTAACACTCATCTCTGGCCTTCATGAGCACCTGCACACATGTGGCATACACAGACACACACTTACATTAAAAAAAAAAACAAGCCAATTTTAAAAAGAAATGAAGGAATGAGGTATACCTAGGCATGGGGGTTCATATCTTTTTTCTTTTTTTTAAGATGTGAGCTGAATTTTATTAATATGGACTTCAGGAATGAAAAGAAAAAAAGTTAATTGACATGAACAAATATAGGCAGACATTCTTTTCACATGTGAAAAGAAATGTGTAATCATATTTTGTGTATGTTTTTCAAAGCTTTTGTGTATTTTTTAAAATTACTTATTTAATAACCACATGATTAGAAGAAGCATTTCATTACAGCATTAACATATTCAATAACAGTTTCCGGAGCAAAGATGCATCTCTTTCAAAATTGGCTGTAAATTTTTAGGTTCACAGTTGAATTAATACAGTTATTCAATATTGAACTCAGTATAAACTCTATAAGACATGAAATTGAATGAGGTTTTAACCTTTAAAAAAGTCTCCGTTTCATTTTAAAATATACTGTTTCATACAGAATAACTCATTTTTAATGCTACTAACACTTAGATGTTTGCACATGCATCTCTAATCTCTATGTATCTGATTACTAGTCACAGTCGGTTACTTTCTGAGATCCTTGGCACCTGAGCATGGATATAAAGTGATCAGGTAGGTTTCAATGTTAATGTGTTTCACCTCTGCTAATTAACATGAAGCAAATTTTTATGCTTCTTCCTCAAATATACCTCATTTTTTATTTGTTGATTTTTTTGTGTGTATTTCATACAGAACATCCCAAACAACCATATTCATCTATATACCCACATCCCAAATGGCACCCTCCCATAGTCTACCCCCCCACCACTGGAGCCCATATATGCTGTAATCACTATTATTGTCCACTGTGTTGTCAGTGCCCCCAGCCATTCTCCAGTGCTTGTCCATCCACTGAATCTAGTCAGTCTATCTAGAGTTCCTTGTTTTAGGAAGATCAGCTCTTCCTCATCTAGCAGCAATCAGTTGCCAATATTCCTTTAGATAAGATTGGGGTCTGCTGTTCACTTCCCCAGTTCTATGCTGGGTTACTGTCTGGCCAGTCCTCGCTGCAGGTATTACTATACTATTAACAGACCAAAATCTAAACACCACAGGAGTCTCTTGGGACACCCTGGTCAACAACTCAAAGGAAGGTATCTCCTTTCTGGCTTTGTTTCTTGTTATGTAGCCTTTAGCTATACACATGGACTCTTAAAGAATTATATTGATCCCTTTAATCTTTGGTTTTACTTTCCTTTTGGGTGTTTAAGACCAACAGTTGGCCCAGATAAAACAAATTATTTTTACTCTAAAGGTCATTTGAGGATCTGTTCCTCAGGGGTCACATGGGCTTGGGAAGAGCCCCTGGCTCCTTTCTTTTACCAGTTCCATCTATGTGAAGATAAGTCAAAGGTCCTACTCAACCATGGCTGGCTTCACTTGGAAGCATGGAGGAAATGATTCCTCTGTGTTGACCCTCCTCTTTGTAGACTGGACACTTGTTCAAGTCCATTTGGTGGGGTCTCCATGGCCTCCTTGATCAAGAGGACAGGTGACTCACCACAGTTACAGGACATTTTGAGAGATGCTCATAGTTCCCTGGAACTAGTCAACCTGGGAGGGCAAGGAGAAAAAACTGTCCTTTATGTCCCTATGACCAAATTAATGTAGGCCTCAAAGTATAGCTGTTAACCATCCAAGAAGCTTAGTTCCACCAGTCTGGTACTTTCAATTACTATATGCAATGTAGATAAAGCTTGGGCAAAGATCAAACATTCTCAGATAAACCTTGCCTAGACATGTATTATATTCCCTGAGCTAGTTATATGTATAATTTTTCAGTAGGTTTTTTGATTAATACTGTTTCCTCTAGTTTTTTTTTTTTTTAACTAGCTAGGCATTATTTATCTCTCACATTGTCTAGCCTTTCCTCCATGGTTTCCCCATTTAAAGTGCCCCCATTTTTCCTGTTTCTCCCTTAATAACACCTTTCTCCTATGGTCCTACCTCTCTTGAGCTCCTTCTTTTCTCTTTATCCCCAAGGTTCCTTGTATAACCCTCCCCCCTTAAAATAACCCCATTTTTATCTGTATCTCCTTTATTAACACCTGTTTCCTACTGTTCTTCTCTTTCAGATTCTTTCTTTCCTTTACCTCCCTGGTTCCTTTCCATTATCCTGGTTCCTGTAGTCAAGTCTAGATACATACTCACTTATCAGGATTTCGTGCTAGGATCCACATATGAGGGAGAACATACGTCATTTTTTTTTTTTCTGAGTCTGTGTTACTTCACTCAGTATAATAGTTTCTAATTCTATCCATTTACTTGCAAATTTCATGATTACATCTTTATTTCTGAGTAAAACTCCATCATATAAATGAACCAGATTTTCATTATCTACTTGTCAGTTGAGGGACACTTAGGTTGCTTCCATCTCTTAGCTATTGTGAAAAGAGCAGCAACAAACATGG